CTAGCTGCTCCCCCCCTTGCTGCCTGTATCCCCTTAAAAGTTGGTGTCTCCTCCTCCCCGCCCCCGCAACACCATCTCTGTGGGGGCCAGAGGAGACAGCTTTCCTCTTCCCCTGCTGCGCTTGTGCTTTTTAAATGTATTAAGAGCCAGCAGGTTCTTAATACATTGAAAAGGAATCCGCTATCCCGGCTCCCACCTAGTCCCCTGCTCCCCCCCTTGCTGCCTGTATCCCCTTAAAAGTTGGTGTCTCCTCCTCCCCGCCCCCGCAACACCATCTCTGTGGGGGCCAGAGGAGACAGCTTTCCTCTTCCCCTGCTGCGCTTGTGCTTTTTAAATGTATTAAGAGCCAGCAGGTTCTTAATACATTGAAAAGGAATCCGCTATCCCGGCTCCCACCTAGTCCCCCTTGCTGCGCTTCAGCCTTTTAAATGCATTGAGAGCCTGGTGAGTCTTAGTGCATTTAAAAGGCAGAGCCGTAGCAGGGTTAGCTCCCGGGGCCAGGAGCTAACCTCGCTGCGGCTCTGCAATTTCCCCCACGTATCGACTAATCGAGTAGTCAATGGACATCCCAGCGACTGGTCGATTGGCTGATCAAACACTGTTTAACCTCCCTAAGCTGGGCATGTGCCTATTTATTTTTTGCTTCATTGGGGCCACCAGCATGGGTCGTGGGTTCTCCAACTTCCTTTCTGAGAAAATCACTGCACGGTGCCGGGAGCAGAAGCTGGAGTCTGAGCCCTCCCATGCCCTGTTTTCCCAGGGCTCCAGCCCCAGGTGGGAAGGGCACAGTGGGAGCCTAAAGGTTATGGGCCTGGGCGGTAGGGCTCAGGCTTTGGCTCTGGACCCAGCAAGTCTAACACCAGCCCTGGAGACTCCATGAAACCAGGGTCCCAGCTCACACTTAACGAGAGAGCAGCAGCAATAGAAAGTGGTGCATATGTACAGCATGGGCACATGCACCGGACCAGCATGTTCCAGGCTCCAACACGAAGGTGTATTTAAACGTGGGAAGGGCTGAAAGGGAGAGAGACGCTGATGGGGTTTAGAAGCTGCCTGAGAGAGGGGGCAGTCGTGGTGGCGGAGGGGCCCCTGTGCAGAGCGCTGTAATGGCTCTGGCCGTGTCTCCTAGCTCCTAACCTCCTCGCGGCGTTTGCACTTTGTGCCTTGCAGGGGAAGCAGAAATACACCCTCCCCCTCTACCGAGCCATGTGGAGCGGGTCCAAGTCTGCCCGAGCCCTGGCCGTGGAGACTTTCTCGGCCACGGCCGCTCAGCTGCACGTCAACGTCCGGAACTACGTCAAGAAGATCCTGGATGCGGCGCCTGTGGGCAGCTAGTGGCTCGTCCCGGAGAGAGGCAGCCCGCTCCGGCAACTCAGCAGGCTTCTCCTCGGTGGCTGGGCCTGCCTCAGACTCCCTCCCCTGGTGGCCCCTCACTCTCAGGCCCAGGCTCGGTTTTATTAAAGGCTTTTCCATTTGTATTCTCCCTGGTGGTGCTGGGCGGGGGCGGCTTTAGGGCCTGGAGAAGGCAAACCCCTGCATGAGACCCACCTTGCGCTACGGGGGGCCGGCAACTCAGCAGGCTTCTCCTCGGTGGCTGGGCCTGCCTCAGACTCCCTCCCCTGGTGGCCCCTCACTCTCAGGCCCAGGCTCGGTTTTATTAAAGGCTTTTCCATTTGTATTCTCCCTGGTGGTGCTGGGCGGGGGCGGCTTTAGGGCCTGGAGAAGGCAAACCCCTGCATGAGACCCACCTTGCGCTACGGGGGGCTTTTACTTAAGACCCTCCCCCTAAGCAGGAGCAGCCACTTCCTGCCTGGGGGAGAGCCCAGGGGGCTATGAGCTGCAGTGGGGGTCCCCAGCGATTCCAGGTGGTCCCCCCCACGACAACGTGCCATTTTCTTAACGGCGCCGATGCCACTCTCCCAGGTCACACTCGGTCTGGATCAAGGCCTATTCCAGGTGCCTCCGGGCCAGTCCTGCAGAGTCGGTAGCCCCAGCTGCAGGACACAGGCCTTGG